AAGAAGTGTAAATAGAATCATATATTAATTATAGGGTAACTATACGGACACCGTTTTTTTTGGTGTAAAAAATATTTAGGGACACCGTTTTTCCGTCCGGCCCGGATTTTTTTTTTTTTTTTTTTTGCACTATAAAATAATTTCAGGGACACCGTTTTTTTTACGGACACCGTTTTTTACTGCTTAAGAAAATCTCACTATGAATGAAATGACTGAACAAGACATCAGCGACAAGGACTTGCTAATTCAAGCACTTCTTTCCGAGTTCAGTAATGATGTTGAAATTAACGATGGCTTCGAGCAAACATTAGAGAATGAGAACGTTAAACACGAAAATCCCGGCAAAAACGCTCTCTTGAACGAGTTTGACTGGGACTCCATCAGTGTCGCAGAGAATGCAGCAGAAGATCACGAGGAAAATTATTTGACTGATTTTCCGGTACCGTCTTTTGAGGAGACTGTTGGTAGTAGCGAAGCTGTCGTAAGTATGAAAGAGGCTTTTGGAAAGGAGTTTCCTGGTAGCAAAAAATTCGCTGACAAGCAGTCGGCCAAATACGAGATCCAAGAGTTTTGTAATTCTCAGAACATGCCTTTTGAAACACTCAGAAGCGATAAAGTTTACATGAAACTGGTATGCAAGCATTTTGGAGAATACCGTAACACCAGAGGCGAAGAAAGTACGTATGCATTGAGTGAATGGCTGATCTAGTTTGATTAAAAAACTGAAATAGAAGACAATAATGATGGGGAGGGTGTCTTGAAAAGGCCTAATCTTAAGACTGTTAAGGTTGGTTGTACGGCTTTTATTCACATCAAGTTGGATACCAAAGACGTGAACAATCGCTGGTATATAAACAAGGCTTGTTTTGACCATACGCACCCAGTTAGCAACAACCGCCAAATGTATCATGTTAACAGGAAATTGGAAGCAGATGATGAAGAATTTGCAATCAAGATGATGCAAAGCGGAAGCACTCCCAGTGCAGTTTTGGAGGTAAGGAAGTTGATAGTAAAAGTAGGATGTGGCAAGGAGTTAGCATTATTTGTGATCTATTTTTTTTTGAATAAAGACATATTATACGCATACTTTAAAAACATTCTCAAACGACACTAGCAGTAAATATTGTTTCTTAAAATAAACCGTTTTGTTTGTAGACTGTTAAGAACAAGAGACGTTTGCAACGTTAATGTGATCGATCTTACGAATATCCAACAACGGTTCTGTAGAGATGATAGCATTTTCATTTGGAATTTTATAAGACACCTCGAAACAACAAACCACCATGTTAGATATTTAACTAACGAAGATAATATAATCCAATCTATTTTCTTCATTCACCAACATGGGATTGAGGAAGCGCGTAAATTATCTGAGTGTGTTATAATCGACGCCACATATAAGACCAATTCACACAAGATGGTATTATTGAATTTTGTTGTTGCTGGAGCTTTGCGCTCTCAAGAAAGACCAAATCAGCTGACCACCGTTCCTATTGCCGGCTGCTGGATGGACAAGGAAACAGCGGAGAGATATCAGTGGTCTCTTCAATGTTTTAGAGATATTGTATGGCCTGCTGGTACAGCTGAAAATATGTTGCCGAAATGTTTCGTCACCGATAATGAAGAAGCTTTATTGAAGGCTATCAAAACTGTTTTTCCTAACAGTAAGCAAATTCTTTGTTGGATTCACATCCAGCGCAACTTTCTTCTTCGGTTTAAAAAGAACTTAAGCTCGAAAGTGAAGGCCGACAGTAAGCTACTATAAAGACAAACTATATTCATCTTCTCAGCTTACTCGAATTACAATTAACATAGATCCCGGAATGCAACTTGAAGTTCGTAGTTTTTTGACGATTGTTCAAAAAATGGCATTTATTTGCTCTACTTTGGATGAATTTAAAAATGCAAAAGTAGAGTATGATGCTTTGTATCCAGGCCAGAACTCTGTACTAAAGACGGTGCAATTGTCATAAAGAAATACTTGGAATTGTATGTAGTATTTAATTTTATGTAGAAATATTCATTACTTTGCCAAGAATTAACTGAATGGCTTCATTAGCATGATGAAAAGGCAAATTTTTGGGCAGGATATCACGTCAATGCTCTGATGCACATGGGTAATCGAACATCCAACAGAGTTGAGGCAACTCATGCAAACATCAAGCGTCACACGCATACGTCTTCTGGAAGTATGGCTATTGTAACAAGTAGAATCAGCGCTTGGGTCCAGAAACGGGTAAGTATTTTTTATTGTACTCTGTAAATCGAGACTCACTAAAAATAATTAATGTAATAAAGGAGGAATACCGCGACTTGCAGTCCACGAGAGAGGCGTTGACACAGCAGGCAGGCTTACTTGATGTTGATATCATGACGAAAGTCAGTCAACTTCAAATGAATATCACCAACTTTGCTCTTGAGAGTATAAAGTCGGAATTGGTAGAATTGAGACTGGCCAGCAAAAATCCGAATCATAAGAGCCACGCACTTCCAGGAAAACAGACTTGTCTGTGTTCTTTAAGAAGAAATTACAATCTTCCGTGCAGACACGTGTTGGTAAAGCTACTCTCTGATAACAACGGCGTTGTGCCTCTTAAGGCAATTTCAAAAAGATGGAGAATCCATTATATTGACGGAAGTGGTAAGTACTCTTTAATGGGTTGTATATTTAAATTAAATTCTAATATTTATTAATATTGATGTTCTCAGTTGCCACCATCGCTGAGATAACGAAAGAAGCCAGTGAGAAAACAAAATCCGTTGACGAATCGGGCGACTACCAAAGCCGTCTGATGATCCGTTTTAAAAAATTCTCTCTGTTGTTAAGACGGCCAGCAGTCAGCAAGAGAAAGAAAGTATGCTAAAGCGTATTGATGCCTTGTACGATGATCTTGCTTGCAAGTCATCAATCGAAACCGCACTTCCTCCTGCTACTGTGGTATCCCAGAAGGGCCGCCCAAAAAGCAATAAGAGAGAAAAGCTGGGACTAGAGCACGAGGACGATGCCATTAAGCAAGAAAACAAGAAGCGCAAGGCTGATATCGTAGATAGCTCACCAAAATAAAACAAGTAAAAAAAAATACGAAGCAGCTGACAAAAGCCAAGAAAACTGTTCCATCAAACGTGGTAAAAGAAATTTCATTGAAGTAAGTATTTTATTACACGTGTTGAAGCATTCAAAACTGACTTTTTACGTTATTTTGAAAGATACAACGGCACAACCATCCAAACTCTGGACAATAATCCTGGTTTATTTAAACAATTGGATTTATTAGATGCCAATCAAGCTCTAGCTTTAATTGATCCTCAAGGTGATGGTAATTGTGGATTTCGAGCAATCAGCCTAGCACTATTTGGACATGAAGAAGGTTGGATTCAAGTCAAAAAATCGATGCTTAACACTCTTCGGTCATATCGAAATGTCTATGAAACCATGCAGCTGGACATGAACTATTTAGAAAGGAAACTTAATGCAGCAAAATCTCCCTGTTTAGACCCGGAGGACCATCATATGTGGGTTGACACCATCGGTTGCCCGCAACTAGTTGCAGATACAATGAAACGTCCCGTGGTTCTGTTAAGTTCTTCTCCAAGAATATTTAAAACGACCGGTATCGAACGTGATCTTGACGGTAATATCGTTTACAACAAATCCCGTCAGACTTTTGTCCCTTTCTTTGAGTTGGATACCCAATACTTGGCTGATCCAATCTTCATTTTTTTAACAAGCTCGCATTTCTATCTGCTGGATCGCCAAACCAACGTAAAGAGCAAAAAACCCATCGACTATGAACATTGGCCGCAAGTTAGCCCTCTTCATAAAATAGTTGTAACAACGCACAGAGATGTTTGCACAAGTGATTTCTCTGAGTTTTATCAAGACACTTAAGCCCATTTTTCTTTTTTCCTACTCGATGTATATTAACCCCAATAAAACTTTTATCTTTTTCAAATATAAAATGAACTAATATCTCTAAAAACGGCGCCATCAGTAAAAAAAAGGTATCTGTAAAAAAAACGGTGTCCGTAAAAAAAAACGGTGTCCGTAAAAAAAAAGAAAACGGTGTCCGTAAAAAAAACGGTGTCCCTGAAATTATTTTATAGTGCAAAAAAAAAAAAAAAAAAAAAAAAATCCGGGCCGGACGGAAAAACGGTGTCCCTAAATATTTTTTACACCAAAAAAAACGGTGTCCGTATAGTTACCCTAATTATATAGCCTCGATCACGACAATTAAAACCCATTTGTTTGTTTAAAGGGTGCACTGCAAAAATTTAATCCATTTCCTGTTTCTGAAGGGAACATTAACAGCTTACTATGCTTCCACCTGCTTTTTTGAAGTTAGATTGCCAGAAAAAAAAAACTTGATTTGCCCTACTTTTTATACATTGAATGGCCAAAGGTATGGTTGAACCAACGTTTTAAAAAGAGAACTTGTATTGACCACCTGAGCTATACTATATATAGTAATTTGTCTTGTATACCACCTGCCGGACTATAACCAGACAATAGATGTCCGGTAGGTGGTAGATAGCCCATTTTATGTGTGTGGGTAAAAAGGGTGTAATTCATTTGGGGTGTAATCCTCGGTATAATGGTTTTTTCGAGATAAATATGCTTAACGGTCACTGATAAAGTAGTATAAAAAGATTTCAACTTTTTTTTGTTTTACACTCCAAATTTTTAATTGTAAGATTATCTATGCTATGTCTTCAATTACATAGCAAACTGATTAAAGAAAATACAGAATCTTACGAAGTAAAGCATTTTTAATATGGTTTTTATTCTAAAAGGTATTGTAATTTTTTGTGTGATTTTATAGCTTTTTCTAGCAGGCAAAGACAGTGTTTTTATAATTTTTCAGAATGTCTCTGCCTTTTTGCTTGTCTGCAGTGATTATGACCATTTTCTTTTTAATATTGTCTATTCTTACAAGATAGGGTATGCACCAAATTGTTTTGTAGCAAATGGTGTAAAAGTGGGTGCCATCATACGAAGATGATTACACACGACCTTGAATTTCGTAATTCAGTTTTTCGGATATTTGCAGGATACTTGGAAAGTAAGTCGTTTCCAATGCAATACCAGCTCCTCTTGCATTTCCCAAGAATAAGAAGGACGGGAAGTCTTGTAAGCTTACAGTATTCTGGGAAGTGACTGTGCCTGTACACCCTTCGAATCTACAAGCATGCTTTCTCTCTCTGACAATGTGTTCATATTTGAACACAGCGCTGAACTCGTTGTCAAGACTTTGATGAGAAGCAAACGTACGTTCAGCAGAAAATGCCGTTCTCATTTCAAGTCCCACTTCGATTACTGGTTGAGTTTCTGAGTTAGGATCAACGAAACTATGTTCAGCATTAACAGAACAAAGGTGTGATCTAAGTGTTGAGCATCCAGGGAAATTTGAGATGGCTGCCTGGAACCTCTCTGAGCATTTACCCATGATGAAGTTAAGGACCTCTAGGCAATCACCGTATTTACCTTTAGGATACTGCATCGATCCGTCCAGCTTCTCCAAAGACCAAACAAAATCTCTTGCCATGGCGGATGCCTCATTGGTGAGAGCAACCTTTTCTTCCATAGTTCTGGCATGTTTGTGTGCGCAATATTTGTCGTAATTGCTCATGAACATGCTGTCATATATGTTTTCGCTATTTTCCAACTTGGTAAAATTAACGGAAGGAAAAACATTGTTCCACAGCAATTCAAACGTAGCATCAATGAAACACGAGGCGGATGTATTCGCAGAAATATGATCAAAGAAATTAATCCTGGAAGAAATAGGATCGGCTTGCAATTTCGATGCATCATTGTTAAATTTTTTGACAAATTCATTGTAGGTTTTGACATTCAAATTTTTTTGCTTGGTTACAGGCTTTAAACAAGGCTTAGTCACAGAAGAAGAGGCCCTCTTCTGGACTGCCTTTTGTTTTATGCTATTGACCGGGTCACTACTTCTACTGATAGTTTTCACAGCAACCGTTTCCTCTTCAACAACCAAGCCGTCATCCACGTACAGTAGTCGCTCGATTTAAGGGTGACCAGAAATTTCGGAAATCTCACCCTTAAATAGAAAATACCCTTATATCGAAAATCGTGACCACTCTTTATAAAACAGTCACCGGGCGCCAGCTGGTGCTAAATTTTGAATATCTTATATAATAAAACTTTGGATACACTTTGTCAATCCTTGCATATCTTTATTTTATTCAATATGAGCAATACACGTTTACGTCTTACAATTTCCCAAAAAATTGAAATTTTAGATCAGTTTGGAATGGGAAAACACCAATGAGATAGAGCTCGGAAAATGGGCACAAAAAAAGTTTGATTTAATAAAACCTCTTTCACAACAAACTGTGTCAAACATCATCAACAATGCCGATCAGTTGTATTCTAACATTGTTGTTATCAAGAATAGCAAGAGTTTGAAGCTACCCAAGTATCCTCAACTTGACGAAGAAGTGGAAAAATTCGCCAACCATATGAATGACTGCAGCATACCAGTAAACCGTGCCTGTATCATCGAGTATGTCAAGCGTATCGCTGGTTCAAAGTACTCCATCACTGAAGATATCACTTTCTCTGACGGATGGCTTTCCAAGGTCTTTAAACGCCTTGGTTTAAAATGTAGACCTACCCATGGTGAATGTGCTTCTGTTGATGTCAATTCACAAAGTATTCAAGATCAGCTTGAAAAAATTCGGGAAGAACTGACGGATTATCCTCTTGCTGATATCATGAACTTTGACGAGACAGGATTGTATTACAATCAACCACCAAGAAAAACAATTTGCTCGCAACCACTTGGTGGATTAAAGAAGAGTAAGACCCGTGTGACTGTGGGGCTACTTTGCAATGCGGATGGCACGTACAAAGGCCATCCCATTGTAATTGGGCAATTCAAAAGCCCTCGTTGCTTCAAGGAAAACCCGAAGATGCTTTCCATGACAGCCATTGGTACCCGTCGATACGTAGAGTACCACCACTCGCCTAAAGCTTGGATGACTACCGAGATCTTCTCGGCTTATGTCAAAAAACTGGACATTGCTTTTGGTCGAGAGGGTAGAAAAGTGGCTCTACTTTTAGACAATGCCACAGTGCATAAGTTGAAGTTCAAGCCGGTGAAAATAAAGTTGGTGTTTCTTCCTGCCAACACAACGAGTATGTTGCAAGCTCTCGATGCAGGTAGACAAAATAAACAAGGATACTGTTTTTTAAGTCGAAGTACTAATTTTATTTCACTTTATTTAGGAATTATTGCCAACTTTAAGGCTTACTTTCGCTCCCAACAGTATATGAGAAGTCTTGATTTGTTCGCCAGCAAACAGTTAGATAACTTGGATGTTTACAACATAAATCAGGTGCAAGCCATGTTTTTCTTGGCCAATGCTTGGTTAAAGGTAACGCCTGAGACAATAAAGAATTGTTGGAGGCATACCAATATCTTGGGATTTAAAGAGAACCCTGACACGTTGGCTTTGCCACCCACTGTCCCCTTGCCTCTGGAAGATAACGTTGTCCAGGAGATCAACAATTTGTTGCCCGATCTTCCTGGTAATTCAGACAACGAGATCACTGATGTCTGTCAGCTGGATCTGGATTCTGACGAGATGTTTATCATCGATGATGAGGAGATCGTGATGGACGGAGAGGAGGAGATCCCAATGATACCTGAACAGGAGAAATACGTCGATATCAATGATTGTAAAAAACGGTTGAGGGAAGCTTATGAGACGATTCCGGCTTTGGATGTGCCTTTGGATGACTTGGACAATCAGTTCCATAGACGTGTTAGAATGAGATTGGCTGAATCCCGTGCTGAAGTAGAAACTTTGAAAGAACAAGCTGATATTCGTCGCTTTTTCCAATAAAAAAATTATTTCTCCTGTCACAAATGACTTTAAAAAATGATGATTTGTTACTGATAAATTTTTTTTTTCGACTGGGCACCAAAAAAAAAAAAAAAAAAAAAAAAAAAAAAAAAAAAACCCAAATATGGTAAAAAACCGTTCGATTTAAGGGTATGGGGAATTGGGATCTCACCCTTAAATAGAATAGTGGTTTAGTGGTGTTAATGCTGGGGACGGAAGTTGTTTTTCAAAAATCCACCCTTAAATAGAAAATACCCTTAAATCGAACACCCTTAAATCGAGCGACTACTGTAACCTTGCCAGATTTTATCAAAATCCAACGATCCAACTGAAGATACAGACTTGTTGTCATCAAGATCGGGAGAGGCAGTAAACTTACAGAACTTGACTTCTTCAACATCAAGCCAGCCTTCATCAACAAAACCTTCTAAAGTACGTCGAATGTTTAATGAGTTCATCGAACACACAGAGCTGCTATCATCGTCTTTTTTGATATTTTCGTCGGATAATGGGGTACTGCAATAATCACATGCATATCCCATAATTTCTTCAGCAGCGTCACGAACAACGAAACCTCCAAATATTCTGTTTTTTAAATCCACATTTAGTTGTCCAGTAAAGTTGTAATCTCCATCGGATGTGAGTTCGTAGTCGCCGTTATGTTGACGATCATTCAATTTATATGGAAGATCATCGTCATATGTCGAAAAGAAAGCCGTGATACCATCTTCCATCTTGTTTTTCTCTTCAATACGGTGATTGTTTGCATCTTTATCTACACCAAAAATCTCGTAAAAGTTGGTGCTTTCTTCAACAGCACTGTCCAAACTTCTCTTCTTAATATTTCTGCTGGATTTATCACCGTAGATGGCATTAATGTTATCTGGTGGTCTACTATCAGATGCTTCGTACAAAGTTTTTATAAGTCTTTTACTATGAGTCTTTCTTTTTTTAGACCCGTAAACAGGACTTATTTCATTTTCATAGTAGTTGGCCAATTCGTTTCCATAAACCTGCGCAACTTTCATAATCTGACGGAGGGCATTTCCCAATCAAAAACCAGGCTCCACAAAACCGTACAAGTTTCTGTGAAAAGATTCAATTCCGTTCGTAGTTCTGGATTCATGCTCTTGCAATTCCTGCTTCATATTCGAATCGTAATTAAAAATGGTAGGTCGAACATGGTCATCCCACCACCATTGCTACCAACTACGGCAATCTGGAAACGTCTTTAAAGGACTCCTTCCTGTTTCAAAGAAGACCTCTTCCCTCGTCGTTTTTTGCAACATGTTAGCAAGAGAAATAAATTCTTTAGATTTACTGGCAGGAACAATTCTCTGGATTTTGATCATTCTTTGGACAGATTGCATCCAATAAAAATAACATCCTTTAATTAACGACAAAGAAGATTTATCGTCCGTATGGAAATGCTCTTCGCAGGCTTGTTGAAAACCTCGCTGCTCAGCTTTAGAGAAATCTAAAAGTATACAAAGAAAAAACTTTGATACAATTGCATACTTCTTAAACAACGCCTTGAAGTAGAAGGCAAATTTTTCGGCGGTTTGGTGCTTGATGACAGCTTGAAAAAACACCATATGCTTTTTCATTTCTTCGACGTAGATGACCAAGGAGACCAGATAATAACTGGAGGACACCGCTTTGTAAGTAACATCCGTGAAAATGGGGTGCTTGTCAAACATCGACTTGAATTTTGTTATTTCAGGAGGAAAAGATAATGCAAAATTCAGAACTCATCACTTGTGCATGGTTAATAAAATTAGGAAAGTCATGGTCGATTTTTTTGAACTCTTCGAAAAACTCGCCATTGCTTTTGCTTTCAAGTCTCTGTCTAATTGTTGACTTTTCCAGCTTCATTTTAGCAAGTTCTTTATTTCCAAGGAATTGGATTAATGTTTTGAATAGACTTAATATCTTGACGACCGGCAACTGCAGTAGTGGGCGTCATGGTAGGATTCTTTTCCAAAATTTTATCGAGTTCTAACTTTTCTGTCATAGAAAGATGCTTAGAGTTGTATACACCATGGGTGTTTCTTATTCTGCAATCCTTGTTTATCATATGCATCATGGTACAAGTCCTGGCTTTTACTTTGAAGAGATACTCTACTTTTACTTCTCATTTAATCCAGCTCAAAAGCGTGTTGCACTGATGACATTTACTTTGTTTTTTATACCAGCCTCTCTGGTAAGAGTTCTAGTTGCCTTTCTATAAAATGGACAACTGCTTTTAAGACATTCAGTTGCTCCCAAGCATGACTTTACAATACGGCGGTCATGTTCGTGATCGTCATCTGTCATAAGCTTAGAAAGTCTTCCTTTGTTGGGTTTATACGAGTTTTCGGTTGCTAATGACCAGCCAATGTTCAAGTCAAAGTCTTGGAACGAATTTTTAGACTCATTAAAGTGAGCTTTTGACGTCTCCTGTGCAAATTCTCGGGGAAATTGTATTTTAAACGTAGTCGTTTCTGACATTATTGTTATAATAAAAAAAGGGGAAAAAGCTGAAAAATTGAAATTTGGCTAAGTCATTAGTGGCTTATTACACCCCACGGAATATAGATTTAACCGAGAATACACCCCAAATAAATTACACCCAAATTCCCAGCACCGCCATTTTATGTCTAGATATGGATTAACAACACGTCATTTTTTAGGCTCATAAAACTATTTACCACCTGTCCGGCATTCGATGCAGTCCGACAGGTGTTGTACAAGAGAACACCTCCCCCCATTTTTTAAGGCGTAAGCTTCGATGGATAAATCGCCATTTTTTAGGTTCATAATATCACTCGTTTCGCTTTCTTCAAGGCGTAAACTTGGATTAATACACCACGGGAAAAAATAAGTGATGAAATTAATAAATAAGTGACTTTGAGTGACTTCGAGTGTTTATTCGGGTGTTTTTCCCCATCACTTTAAATAAAGGTGACAAATAAGTGTTAAAATAGGTGTTAATTTCTACCACTCAGAATGAAGGTGATAAAAGGTGTTAAAATAAGTGTTAATTTTTGTCACTTCTGGCAAAGGTGACTAAGAAGTGTTAAAATAACAGTTAATTTTTATCACTTGAGAGAAAGGTGTTAAGAGGTATTTAAATAGGTGGTGAGTTTGGTCACTTTTGTAAAAGGTAACAAATGAGTGTTAAATTAAGACCTTGTTTTCATCACTTGAGTTTAAGGTGTTCAAGGGTGTTCCAACAAGTGGTATTAATTGCAATATTTTTTTATTATTATTTAGTAAATCTGATATATGAGTGTTAATTTTTGTTTTTAAAACAAAAACGGCGTATTGCCTGTGGTGATCTGCTATATTGTTGCTACATTAAATAAACCTATATCTATGACATCAATACATTAAGAATGATTAAGGAATCAATTACCCAATATAGATAGTTAGTACTATCATATCACAAGGTTACAAGAACACAGTGACAAAGGCTTACTAAAGATATGGAAGTACAATGTGTCTAAGATGACAGTAATTCCAAGTGTAACATATTTACAAAATAAGCAGTTAAAGGTAACAGGATACACACTGGGAAAATGATAACAACTTCAAAGATACACTAAAGATAGTGGTACAGCAGATAGTCTTTTTTATATAAATACTTGTTCATTTTATTTCATAATAAAGACAATCTTATAAACAGTCTCAAATTACTTACATACTGCCTTATAATTTTTACTTACGTCAAAACACAACATTTCCGTCGCGCTCTAAATAGCTAGAAAAGCTATAAAACAAAGGATCGGGAGATATGTCTGCAGCATCAGAAGGATTGGCAGGATGAGACTTAACGTAATTGTTTGGAAGGGTGTCGCTCTCATCCCGCTCATCTTCGACTATCATATTATGCGTAATTATGCACGCCTTCATGATCATACTAAGATCTTTTCTTTTCCACGATCTTGCATTACAACTAATTATAGCAAATCGAGCCTGCAATACGCCAAAAGCCCTCTCATCATCCTTAAGGCATGCTTCTGGTTGTTTAGCAAAGTTCTATATTTTAATAAGTTATAATTAATAGCTAGCATATATATTTCAATATTTTAGAAACGATATTTACTGCCTCGGCACCAGGTTTTGGAACAGAAAATGTCTTTACCATATTGGCAAAGTTGGGTACATCCCATCGGCAAGATAATACCCCATGGTAAACTCCTGGTGACCGACGTCAAACTTCACATCCACGCTACTGCCGTTCGTATATTCATCAAACAAATCCGATCTGTCAAGAACATTAATTTCATTCAATGAACCTGGTAAGCCAAATTGGGCATGCCAGATCCACAGGTCATACGAAGACGCTGCTTCCAAAATCCATGTCGGCTTCTTTTCTTTGCCGGTATACTGACCGTGGTATGCTGTTGGACAGTTTTTCCAAGTCCAGTGCATGCAATTGAGAGACCCAAGTATACCTGGTAATCCACGTTTTTTGTTCTCTTCGAGGGGTCTCTCGTATCTTCTTCGTTGGGTCTTCTAAGATACTCCTCTCCAAAAACCTCAACGATAGCAGAGCAGAATTTCTTGATACTTAAGAAGGCAGTACTTTCACCCAGACGCAAATACTGGTCTACCGTATCAGAGCTGGCGCCGTCGCATAGCTGACGTAATGCAGCAGTAGCCTTCTGCAACGGATGAAGGTCCATTTTTCCAGCAGCATTTTGCGTTCTTTGGAAATACGGATCATGCTCCGTGATAGCTTCCACAATTCGAAGAAAAACATTCTTACGTATTCTGAATCGACGACAAAATTCTTTTTCGCCGTAAACCGGGTTTTCGACATAGTAATCATTTAATAGACGTTGATAGCCGGATTCACTGTCTCTGTCAATGACTCTGCGGCCCTCGACTGAACCATCTGTCGTTGACCGACTGTCCATTTCATCCTTAAGTCTTTTGATGTTTAGTATATGAAGGACATTACTATTTGCACGCTTTCTGAGATTCAGGAGGGCCATGGCTGCCAGTTGTTCCATCTTAAAAAATTCGGGATTGAGTAAAAAAGATCTTGACACTTTTTTTTTTCAGGTACACTTAATTAATTAAGTTTTTGATGTCCGTTATTTAAGAGTTTTTTGTTAAATTGTTGGGGTTGACAAAACTTTTATTGCTGAATTTAAAAAAAAACTCAAACTTTAGAGTTTTTTATCGGGCACTGCTGGGTATGCTCTAAGGTGCCTTAATTCAGCAATACGCCGATGCTCGGAGTTAGCTTTGCCAGTAAGTGATATTTTGAAGGAAGCTGGTTTTTTCTGGACAAAAAGGATTGTTCTGCGAAAGTACGAATGATTCGGTATGCATTCTCCGCTGGTTTGGAGAATGACCCTATCTTCTGCTTAACTATACCAATCATGCGTTCCAAAGGTCGACAACTGAACGAGCGCATATGACCAAGCTCGTCAATCACATATGGTATGTATGATAGATAATGCTGACTAACTGTTACTGCGTTTGGTGTCATATTGTCTGTGTCTTCAACAAAATCCATCCATATCTGCAGCTTACTGAATGCCGTCAAATATTAAAAAATAGGGTTTTAGTATTTCTAAACCTTTATCTAATTGTAACTAACTAACCTTTTGAGTTCTCTGATATCTGTTTGACTGATTTTATATTGCACAAGCACTGGACAAATTTTTAAGAGCACTAATACTTTCTCTGCATCGATTGTCAATTTCCAAATTATGTTGCTCATACATACCATGAGATGCTCGATCTTTAATTGACAATACGCCTATTGTATATTTGACAGGCTTCACTTTAATGATTGATATTCAGCCAGTCTTGAATATGTATATAAAGAACCCAATTTATTGTATAATAAAGACTTTAGTTTATTTTTGCCGTTCGATAATTTTACTTCGTCAAATTTCTTTATTTTATTCTTAATTCGTTGTTTCATCTCTAGAATTTCTCAAGTGTCCAAATTTTTATGACTAAAGTACATCCCTTTACCATCATGACTACTGCCCATGATATCACATATTTTACAACCAAATTTGCTTGTATGGCCAGTATAAAACAATGTGTCCGCCATGGCAGGAATATCCCCGAGAAACAGACAAGTATACACCTTGATATAATGTTTTTGGTTGTCGTGAGCCTTGACAACCACACCAGCAGACTTCAATTTGATTAACTTGATCAATAAAGGATATAAGAAGCTACTGATGTCTTTTGGTTTTTTGGGCCCTTTGATGATGCAATAAACAAATTGGTTTTCTTATTTTGCTCTGTAACAGACAATGGCAATTAGTATTTTTGATGGAATTATTTTAATCTTTAAAATACCTTTCAACGAGACTTAAGTTCATATTTAAAGCTTTGACAATGGTTGGACTCTGTTTTCGTTTTTAGCCACGAACTAATCCATTAATATACAACGCCAGGGCGATGTCATACTTGTTTTGGAAGCAATTTTTCTTAAAAGCTCTTGGTACTTTTTGCCGTCAAAAAAGTCTTCCATTACAAAATCGTTGCTTGTTTGGACCTTCTCTGATCTGTGCAACAATGATCTCATGCTTTTATCAGAGACAAAGTATGAAGCAATGAAATCGTAAATGTCCAGAAGCTTTTGTTTTTGACTAGCTTCCAACACGCCGTTGTCGTTCAGTTGAAACCTAGGTTCCTCACAGTACGAACACATTTCTTGTTCCTCGGTGATAAACATTTGGCACCCATTCACATACATATCGTGAACTTCTTCTTTCAACTGCACCGTTTCACTCATTTCTTTTTTATTTAAATAAGTGGACTTTAATTTTTCTCCCACGTCTAATTTACAGAAGAATTAGTTATGATGTAATGATATTGTGATTACGCATAAAAATGCTTACTCTGGTTAAGATGAGTATCATTGTAGTTGTCATTTATCCATCTGATGATCTCTTTTTTCTGAAATCTTTTCAGATTGAACTTTTCCATCAATGCATGAAATTCAAAACTTTTTTTATCATCCAATGATTCCAAATTGCAATCACGAATTGCAGATAGCTCCTCAGGATTACCTTTGACTGCCATTTCGGAGTACTGTGGTAACTGATTTCTGGCATAATTCGAGTCTTGAACATCAGCATCACTTTCGATATCACTTTCACTGTCAGTCATGTATCCACTGTATTCTGTCTCTAAAACACTACTACGTTCGAGAATGATGTCGGAGTCGCTTCCACTATCACTTTCATATAGATTTTGTAGTTCAGTTACATTGTTGATATCCATATACGCAATACCAGAAGCGGGAACGGGATCAAAATTTTCATCGTCAGTCATACCATATTCAAGGTCAGGAATATTGGCAGGTTCTTCTACGGGCAAACCACTAATGCATGACTCAGCAGTGCTGTCATCTGTTATATTTAGTCTTCGTCTAATGATATTAACCTTCATTTCGATTTCCAATTCCATATTTTTGTGCTTTCTTTCATGAGATACCATATCGCGAGTACCAACGTATGGTTTGTTCGGGCAAGTATCGCAACGAATATTTTTTAGAATATATAAAATGATTAAAGATAAAAAAAGATGACATTTAAAATGTTAAGCCAAATGTCCTGTTATCGCGGTTTAAAATGGGGTTTAATTAAAAAGTATCATTCTTCAATAAACAGGCCAAGCATAAGCATTGCAAAAGAAATGGATGACTTCCAAAATGCAAAATAGAATTAAATAGAATAGACTTAATTTTTTGGGTTGTGTAACGTGGAATTAACCTTAAATTTCACCGCTTAAATTTTTGAAGTTAATTCGACCCCCCTACCCCCCCGAATTAAAAA